ATCGATTCCAAGATGTGATAAAGTTCGGTGAGCTTCTGACACGATCTCATATCGCAAGTCCTGAGGTACGTATAATCTCCATCGTCCCTTAGTAATTTTATATACGCGCGCGTTGAATAAGCTAAATTTCGTATGAGTGTCTTGATCACCGGCTTCTAAACGGTCTCGCAACTCTAAAATCGCCGGGTCCGCTCGCTGCATAGCGGCTACCCAATCCGTCGTGATTCTAATGCCTAAGACCGGTAACCCCGTAGCTTCTATCTCTTCCTCTTTTCCGACCGGGTTTCTGCTCAGCGCGTCTGCTACTTTATTTTCCTTACCCGTTATGATATTCGATTGTATAATTGAATTCCGAAAGTTTGACAAACCACCTACCAATGCGCGGAGTTAAATCTCTTTTGTTTGCTAATAATTTTAAACTGTTACAATCCGTGCGTATAACAAAATGAATTCCGATCAAGTATACTCTAAATTTCTCAAGTGCGCTAACAATGGCTAGAGCCTCTAGCTCATACGAATGATACCGCATTTCTTCGGGCGACGTCTTACGACTATAATAGCTTACGACATGCCATTTACCTCCGTTTTGTTTTTGAAGCAATACCGCGCCCAACCCTGACGTACACGCGTCGGTGTGGACTTCCGTTTCTGCACGATGATCGTATATCGCGAGGACAGGTTTCGTTACCAATATTTTCTTTATCTCGTCAAAAGCCTTAACCTGTTCTGCACCCCAAGAAAACTTCGCATCTTTGCGTAACAAATCACTTAGGGGTTTTGCTATCACCGCGAAATTCTTAACAAAGCGCCGAAAATAACTCGCTAGACCTAAAAAAACATTTTACACCGCGGTTGTTTGTCGGTTGTGGAAACGTACTGACGCTTGCCAATTTTCGCTCACTCGGCTGTATGCCTACTATCGACACTTCGAAACCTAAATAATCTATTCGCGACTTCAAGAAATGGCATTTCTTTAAATTTATAGTAAGACCAGCATCCCTGAATACACCAAATACCTCAACCAACCGAATTAATCCTTCATCTACCGTCATGCTCGGAATAATAATATCGTCTAGATACGCCATCGCGATATCATAGCGCATCGCACCTAATACCGTGTTCATAAGACGCTGAAAGATTGCGGGAGCATTGCACAAGCCAAAGGGCATCCGTATAAACTGATAGTGCCCGTCCGGTGTTATGAAGGCTGTTTTGTCTCTCGAATCTTTTCCTACTTCGACTTGGTAGTACCCACTGAAAAGATCTAAACTTGTGTAATGCTGCTGCCCCTTCAACCTGTCCAACTGATCGTCGATTCGGGGTAATGGATACCTATCTTTTACAGTAGCTTTATTGACGCCACGATAATCGATACACATGCGTATCTCTCCGCTCTTCTTCCGGACCAGCAGCACCGGGCTAGCAAACGGCGACGTGCTGTCTTCGACAATATCGGCTGCCTTTAACTCATTAACCATGCCCTTTAGCTGCTCTCTTTCGTGATACGATAGTCGATATGGACGATAAATTACAGGTTTATCTGAAACAAGCTCGATACGCATAGTTGTTCGATTCGTTTTGCCTACCTGCCGCAACGTTCGTGCTACTAGGTCGCGGTTCTCATTTAATACGGTTAGCAGTTTCTTCGCTTCCTCGCCCGTGAGGTCGGTGTCGACTTCCTCCGACGTTACCGCTTCCTCGTTGACATCGCGTCGCGGCGTCTCCTCTTCACAGGTCTCTGCACGTGAGATGGTGTCTCCAGAGCTGATCGCCACCTTCTTCCCTGTTATGTTTAGGATAGGTAGAACCGTTTTGCCCTCTTCGTCCGTAGCAACGACGCACCTCGGGACGGTTGGGCCTCGTTCACGTAGACCTCCTTCGATGAACAGCTTTTGGTTTGGGGCGCCTCCCACAACTGTAACGTGTCCCAAGTAATTATCTGGAATAACACACATTTGATCAGCACGAAGCACGGTCTTCTTCGCATATTGCGGCTCGATCTGCAACGGGTTATCCTCTCTGTCCGTTATTCGTAGCTCCCCTGCTCTGCTGATCACGATCACACCTGGGTTCTCCGTGTACGGATGACCAACCAAAAGGGGTACAGCCTGGCTCCCTCTCGGAACAATGTGCACCTCCGTCCTCACCGTCACACCATCGATGCTGATATCAGCCGTCAGAACACCCAATGGCTGCACACGCCCTTCGCCATAACCCACAAAACAATTCAACTTTGTCTCATAATAGCTAAGTCCAAGTTCGTCAGCGACATCTTTTCGCAAGGCCGTCACGCTGCTTCCTAGATCAACATAACATTTAACTTGCCGTCCGTTAATAGTTGCGTCTTTGAAATATTTCTGGTGTGTATCTCCGTTAATACACAATACTGGTCGGTTCCGCGAATGTGTTTGTGTTGCTTCGGTTGTACTTCCCGTCGACCCAGACGCCCCGTTTGCCGTACATGTACGCGAAATATGTCCGCTGGCTCCGCATTTGAAACAGGTCGGCACGTGCTTCGGTTTATGGCAAAACCGCGCCGTGTGCCCTATTTGTTTACACTCGTGACACCTTAGAGGTGAACGTCGATTCGCCACGCCATTGCTATCGGATCGTTCATTAGGCGTTGCCAGAGTTTCCTTTGTGTAACTCCCCGCGTTTCGTAAATCCGTCAACAATTCGCTTGGTTTTTTGTATCGAGCCAACGGTCCTAGATAATCCCTGAGCCGAATGCTATCGAGGCCGTTAACGATCCATTCTATTGCTTCGCGGTCTCCCATTTTTGCTTTATTACATCTCGACAGTTTCTCATAAAAATACTCAACGATATTTTGATTAGGTTTTTTCTTATAGGTTTCGGCTCGCAGCCTAGCACTCACCATGCTTTCATCGGCTGGGAAGTTCTCCCTCAATAGTTCCTTCCATTGCAACCAAGATCGGTCCATGCGAGGCAGGCTGTCCCTCCACTTTGTCGCTACACCCGTTAACTTCATCAGAGCATAGTGACGAACGGCGATCTCGTCCCACTGGTAGAGGTCCCCATATTCTTCCATCTTCTCAATCCACTCGTCGATTGTGAACTCACCCACAACAGGGTCAAATACCGGCAATACCATTGCCAAATCGCGAAAATACCGCTCTTCTCTGCCTTGCCCTTCGTTAGCCATCGCGGCCAGAGAAGATGTACACGGGTATTCGTACAAAACAAAACTTCTAAACTCAACAACCGAAGTAATAATGGCGTCGATTTCCGTGTCTCTCCACGTGTCGACCCAGCAAAATACTTCTAAAACCCACCAAATACCATCGAATACCACCAAAATTCACGCAGGCGAATCCCACTTCTGATAAATTGTCGGAATCCCGGGGACCGAGAGTTTAAAGACCACGGGCGTTTTTAATTTAATCTCTTTATTAACAAATTCTGTACTCGCTATCGCTTGCTTTCGCTGTCGTTCAAACTCTGGCACACTTCTTCCAATCGCTCACCGTTCCTCTCATCCATTATCTCTCTCACACTCGCTCTGCCGTGCTCTCTGCCCTCATCCTCACCAATCATATAATCGTTTACAAACATTCCATCTTTCGCACTTTTCGATTCGCCCAGCCATACACACACTCATGCACACCTAGTCGCGCGTCTTTTCGCGACTGGCGCGCGATTCGATGCCACACATTTAAAAGATTTTTTATACATTATGCCTATATATCGGAACAACTATGAAACAAGAGGTATAATCTGTAAGGAGTGAATGTGTGTGGCTAGGAGAACCGTTATCGTTTGCGTCGATAGGAGTGTTTAGTCTAAGCTAGAGTAGGTATCGAGTGAGGTGTTTAGGTTTAAGCTGAAATACGTTTTAGAGACTGCGTCTCGAACGTGCGTTTTGTTTAGATCATTACTATAAGATAGGAATAAGGAAGGGTCGACTTTGACTGCAGGAACGTCACTCTGTATCGAACGTTAGTCGAGAGCAATCACAGTTTTACGTTTACGTTTTATGTCTTTCTTTTATGTTCTTTATGTTAAATAGTTAGTAAATATTAAATAATATAATTACATCGTTACGTTTAGTGTTCACGTATTTGAATCCGTCCACACGCCTTTGAAATGAGAACATAAAACTTAAATGTAAAATTTCATTTAAATTCATTCAGCTATTTATATTCAATCGTATTAATAATATACATATGTGTGCTCATACATGGGAATAAAAAAAAATGTTTTTTTTTTCAATAATTAAAATATGATCAGGAGGTCTTAAAACGTGTATTTCCGTAAAATAAATTTTACAACATTTTTTTTTCATTATGGGTACTTTGCTTATGTGCGCCTACATAGGTCGGAAAGTAAAAATGCCTGGGCAGTCGAGAATCTCGGCTCGAGAATCCAAATCGTATGCCGTTGACGGGAGGTCGGATTTCAGTTGTTTAGAGCGAGAAGGCACATGTGAGCCTTTCTCTCTCGACTCCCACGAGGCGATCCGAAATTACTTCGGGCAGCTTCGGAGAATCGATAAAGAGGGCACGCGTCAGTTTGCCTTTGTCGACTTTCCGAAACTCCACGAGCTCACGTACGCATATCTGGCATGTGTGCGTGTGCACCCGGCGGTGCTTTTCTGGCATCTCTGTCACCAGGCAAAAGAGAGTGTCTCTTACTGCCGAGCTCACGTACACGTGGCTCGTTCGATAGGATATGCCTGCTATCCCCACCACTCCGTTAGACGGTAAGGAAGTTCGTCGTTACTATTGTCGATTTCGATGCACTTAATTATGCCCGATCTGGCCACACTGAGGCCGACTAGAACCTATGCTCTGGTCTCGATCTGTATGTTTCTAACGAATTTTTATTGTTCATAGATATTTACAATGAATTAGTAAAATATAAGAGATATAATCAATAATCTAAATTTCCCTTATTAATCAAATATGGAATATATGCGTGTAACGTATAATTTCAGATCGCTATGAATATTTTTCTTTTTTTTTTTAATTTGCAACAACTTCAAGGAAGTGAAGATTAGTGTGCAGCTATGTTATGTGAAACTTGTGGTGTGTTATTTGTAAAAGAATAAATAATTTTCTTTAAGAAACGAGTTTAATGTTTTGGATATGTCGTATTTGGTAAGTTATACGGAATGTTAATAAAACATTTTCACAAAGTTTTCTGTTTCTAAAACATCAGCTCCATTTAATCACATATCTCCAACTTGCATCAAGTTTCCCTTCACGAAGTTTTTCTAAATCGTTTGTTTCCAAAACGTTTAATGTTTACTATTATTTTGTTGTCATAATGACTTTGGTTTTATGTTTATGAACAAATCAAATTCTTTCTGAAATAAATTCTTATAAGTTAAACGATAAATATAATTAATGATTTATTTCAACGTTTACAAAATATTTTATTTATGCGTACAATTAGTAATGTTAGGTAACAGTTTTTTTTTCATCTACATAATCTCTGTATTCTTTGTGTATATTTTAAGAAATACCTGTATATTTATTTTAAAAGATTTATTTTTTAACTTTATAAATTAATATTAATATTAAAGTTATATTATGTACACAATAATGGTTTGATTAATATATGTGAAAAAATGATTGCACAAAAAATGATTTTGTTTCAGAGTAAAAAAGAATGGGTTGTGTCAATAGTCGGGCAGACATTAATGATCTACATCCGAATGTTTTTCAAGTAATGAATATAGATGACTTAGGTAATTTAATTACACCTGGACGTTTGGAAGTCACTGAAACTGATATTGTACTATATCCACGTGTTAAACAGCCTATCAAATGGCCATTACGTTGTTTACGTCGGTATGGATATGATGCTGAAATATTTAGTTTTGAATCTGGTAGACGATGTTCAACAGGGCCAGGCATTTATGCCTTTAAGTGCCGTAGGGCTGCACAGTTATTTAATCTTGTGCAAACAAATAGTCAGGTCTGTATGTTTGTGTATTTAAAGTGTAAATACATTCTTTTAAGTACAATAGTGCATGGCTGAATTTCAACAATCCATTCCTATTCTTCTCCCACTACTTAGTCATTATATTAATATTATATACAGGGTGTTACGTTTAAGTGCGAATGGTGGAATATCTGATGAGGTATTGAAGGTATCAAAAATGTGTTCTTACAAAAGTTGTTTTATTTAAAGGGACAAATTATGTGGTATAAATAATTTTTGTATAGGTGGAGTGGTGGGGGAGATTTCAAGGTCAAGCAAATTTTTTTAAATGGAACCATATATTTTTTTGTTATATATATAGTGTTTGTTGAAACAAATTCAACGACTTACTACATGACATCATTTCTTGCTATTGAGCCATAATTATTGAGACACAAAGCAGTCAGATCAACGCGAATTGTGAGTTGTTGATTAAAATGAATCCTGGGCAGCTATACTATTTGCTTGTGCCGATCCGATCCAGGTTTTAATCAGTTTTTCCTGAGATTGTACAAATATCAATCCTACAATTAATATGAGAAATTATGAATTATTCCAGATGTTATAAATGATTGTTTTTAATATTTACTTATCACTAGTTTGTAATAACAAGAATTAATTAATGACGCTGTATGTACCTTATCCTTCAACATATCCATCATCGTTGCGTATGCTAAGTATAATTAAAAATGCTAAAAAACTAATAAAAAATGCTAATATTATGAATGAAAACATTCCTTCTTTCAACTTCTTAACTCTTTAAAGGTACTTTTTAAAGTGACTATTTGGAGGTAAAAGTATAAATTTAGAGGCCTAAGTGGAGATAAAGAGCTCGATTTGTGTATACGATAGAATCGAATTGGAAACATTCGATGCGTCAGTCACTGTAATACGTAGAGTTCAGCTAGTAATTTCTGTTGATCTGAGACATCATGCAGTAGGTCGTTGAATTTGTCTCAAGAAATGCTATCATATTATGAAAAAAAAAATATATAGTCATATTTAAAAAAATTAGTTTGACCTTGAAATCTCCCCCACCACTCTACCTATACAAAAAGTATTTATACCACATAATTTGCCCCTTTAAATAAAATAACTTTTGTAAGAACATATTTTTGATACCTTCAATACCTCATCAGATATTCCACTATTTGCACTTAAACGTAACACCCTGTATATTAAGTCAATTAAATGTAGTCTAATTTATGTTGTGTTTGAATCCATTTTAATTGGCTGAATTCTGACATTGCATTGGTAACCATTTTTAGAAAGGTAACATCCAAATTACAGAAAGTAACATTTTGCATGATTATTTTTTATTATGTCTCTTATTATTTTTATTAAGTCTCTTTGAAGTTCCAAATCTCGCTTATTTTTATTTTAACCATTCTTTTCCTTTGCCAGGCTATGTTCGAGTCCACTTTTATAAAAAATATGCCACCTTGCATGTGAGAATTTCATAGCTTTGAATTTATCGAAATTCAACCATATCATTTAGTATATGCTTTTTGATGATATTTAAAATATTATCTAATTCAAATTGTGATAGTTATGGATATCTAATTTAAATTGTGTTGTAGGTTTGTAATAACAGCGGAGACGATACAATGCCCAGGGAACTTCCAGTTGCGTCTCATCCTAGTCCAACAGTAACAAGAGTGACAATACCAGTTGAGCCTAGTTACTTGGATCCGATACTGAACAGAACTAATAATCGTATGGGTCCCAGATTTGTTCACAACCAGCAAAATGGAATTGGAAGATTAGGTAGTGTTGGAAGTAGCACAGGTCTTATATCACCTTCCGGAACTATAGGTTCTCCTTCACCGCTTCCTGTGCTCCCACCACCTCCACCACCATTCCCTCAACCACATCCGTCCTCACTTTACGTCAATGAAGAAACACTGTCTTCTCTGCCATTGGAAATGGAGCATAATAATAATAAAAGCCTTAGCAGAGCAATACAGAGGTAATTCAAATTTAGATTACTTCTATAGTTAACATTACTGAATATTAATAATTTTCTATTGTTCCATAGACCCTGTACAGTGAGTAATTCTATATTCAATAATGACTCGATATCGCTAGAATTGATATCTGTGCATAAAACTACACAAATTACTTCTCGAACAAAGCCACAGTTTCCAGTTGCAGCTTATATGAATGTAAATATAAACAGTGATATTAGTTCACTTTCTCCGACTCATAGTGTTTCCGAAGTAATGCAGTTTAAGGAAGACAAAACTGAAAATAATGAATCTGGACATGCCTACATGAATATAAGTCCAGGCCAGGAACATACAGAATCTTTTGGTGCTAGACCACGACCTTCGCCATTGCCATCTATTCAATCTGATATAGAAGAAGGAACAAGACATTGTTATGCTAACTTAGAAGCAAGTGAAATTGAAAGCTTTAGAAGCAGGTTTTCTGGAATATCTGTAGCTGAAAAATCGCCTTTGCCTCCATCAACGCCTACAGGTGGCCCGATTAGGGAAGTGAACTATGCTGTATTAGACCTGGATACAAAGGATGTACCAATTAATCAATCGCCATTAGATGGACCTTCAAATCTAACTGCTTCTCCTCCGGAGTCTCCAAATAAGTTACAAAAAGGGTATGCTACGATAGATTTCAATAAAACAGCTGCTCTTTCTCATTCTGTCAACCCAAATCTTGTGAATGATAATGAGGGTTCAAGAAAAACGCGTCACAATTCTACAATTAGTGACTTAGTAGCTTCTTGTAGACGTAGTTCATCTGTAAGCGAATGATCTTCTTTTTATTTTTTAACTGTGCCTGTATAATGAGTATCTGTAGCATTTTATAGAATGGTATTGTGCTTTACTTTTTTATTAAACTCAAACATTTACTGATATGAAACCAAAGAACAGGCATTAAATAAGTTTGTCTAATATCAATGAGAGAAAAATGTAGTATGTGTAAAGCACAATGTAGGTATATGTTTCAGAAGTTTTGTTTTTGATTTATTTGTCATAAATCATTTTACAGTTTATTGTTCATATAATAACATTTAGCTTTTAAGTTTTTTTAAATGATGCACAATACACTGGTACATCACAGTATTTTTAAAGAATAAGTCCTTTTTTCAAAGTGTTGTTGTGATGCATAAGTGAAAAATCTGTTTTATATAATATACAAATATGTTTATAGAACATTATAGATTAAATAATATTTTACATTGACTCCTGTTGGAGAATTGGAAGCTAAAGTGCCCTAATTTTTCTTATATCATAGGAATTGAAGAGGCTCAAATAGTCTAATTGAAATAAGAGTATAAAAGTACATGATATTAAAACATAAAAAAGATGGAGATGACATTGTATACAATTTTAAATGATTACTTTTAAAGTAGTCGCTTGAGATCCAACTATGTCTATAAAAGTATATACTAATTTGAAGTGATATTAAGAAATAGTAGTGATAAATAATAAAACATTTGTACGTGACAGTCATATAATTTTCCTACTCTTTAATACATCCGCTGCCGCAACAGACACTAGTAACCAACGTATTAAATTTAACAATATTTCTTTAAAACGTCTGTAATAAACAATTATTTTTGAATAACATTAATATCATTAGAAATACTGTAAAATAATAAGTACATTGATAAACTGTTGCATATTTAATTGAATGTCGAGGGCAACTTTAAATCGTGTCTATAGCATATTAGGCGTGAACGCAGACTTGTAGAAGACTCGCAACGGTAGCGAATGTGTTCAAGATAAGTGTTTAAAATGCACAATTGTAATGGAACATTTTATATTGACGTAATATAATTTATAATTATAATTATTTGCATTACACATTAAGTAACATACATGCAAGTTGGCTAAAATTTGCGTGTTTAAGGCATAAGGAGACATTTAAAATATATGTTACCTGATATATTATGTACATCTACATGTATAATAGATATACATATAGTAGTATCCTCGATTATTGCATGAGTGCCTTATTTGTTCCATGATGTAAAAAATGCAGGAGATGATTGATAAGCAACAAGTAAGGTTGGGGTTACTAATAGGGATAGGCTGTATAGGGCTACTTCATTCATTTGATTATTGTAGGAATTTTGAGTCTTGATATCATGCAATAATCGAAATTCTACTCTACCAAGGAGTATTCTCCGTGTATTACAGAATTTAAAAATCCATGGGTTCTTTCTTATATACTTAAAAAAACATACATTTACAATAATTTTAATTTATACAAATTGCTATACAAACAGAAAATATTTGTTTACAACTGCCCTGCACAAATTTTGAAAATATCAAAGTTGTTTTATTTGAAACTATTATTGGTTATTTATAAAATGATATTGCTTTATTATTTATTGCATTAATTCAGTCAACTTTCTCTTCCAATAGCTCCTAATATGATTATAAATATGTAGATTTATTTACAAAAGTTACAAATGTTAAATTTTTATCAATAGAAAATATTTCTTTATTGGAGATAGAGATTATCAAGCATGTTTATGCAATATTGTATAATTGAAGCTTGATACAAATTTAGTAATAATTAGGTTGTAGAAATCGAAATATTTTAACTTTTTTTAAGGATTTTTGTATTATGCTCATATTATAGCATTTAATTAACATAGTTTATGATCGATAATAATTGTTATTATTATACTTGTTGTTTGTCGATTAAGTTTGAATACTAAATTAGTAAACAAATTTTATAATGAAAAAAATTATAAAACTTATTACTTGATATATAAGTAAATATTTATGATTATTTTAAATTTTTATTTTGTAATGCACCATATTTACTGCACAGATTTGTTAGTCTTCTTCTGTTATAAACAATTAATGTTTGGAGGAGGCCAATCAAAATGGAGTAACAAATCATTAAGTTTATAAGGGTAAGAACATGTGTTTTCTTAATATTAACTACTTTGAAAATACAACTGAAACATAAAAATAGGAGAATATAAATTAAAGCTATTTATGTTTTATATAGTTATGAATATGTTTAATAAGTTAAAAGAAACAATTTCAATGTCTTTAGATGATATTCTTTGCAAAATGGCGATCCATCGGATATATAGTAATTTTTATTTTTAGCAAAAGACTTTTATGTTATAAGTATAATTTTGAATACATATTGTAATAATATGGTTCTAGAAAATTTGCAGCAAAAAATGTGTTTAATTAGATGTTGTCTAATGATATTGACATATTCACTGCCATAATTTGACATTTGCCCAGAATTAAATAACTGCTACAAATTCATTGACAATTATTAATGATATTTTGTATTGTGTTTCTCTCATATTGCGATGAAAGTAAAAGTTTGTTACAGCTATTCACAATTGTGCATACTTTGTACTAATAAGAGTGGTATAAGAATGGTAGTGAATAAGTTAATATAAAATACTGAAACATTCTACTTTATTATATCATAATTTTATATGGAAACGTTTGGCCTTATATACAGATCCTATATTATTATTTGATATAGAATTCAAATGCAAAATACACTTTCAAAAGTGTTTTGCAAGCTTATGTATACCTACAGCTCTATATTTAAATATTAATATTAAGTAAAAATTGTCAGGCCTATATGGAAGAATGAATGTTCTCGTAAGACATGTTGGATCATATCAATTATAGAAATTATTTTAACAAATAATTGCACATTATATATATTCAGTGTGTATTTTAAAGACCTATATCTCTAAAACCAAAGAATTATTTACTGGATCTAAAATTTAATTTTAATTATTTCTCATTCATATATGTTCATTTAATAATAAAAGGTAGACAAATATTGTTCCTAAAAAGATTTGAGAATATTATATTCTTGCAGAAAATCATTGATATTAACAATTACATATAAGTCGATTAAATTGTCGATTGTAAAATTTATACAAGCAAAACAAGTAGCATTATTTTGTAAGTTGTATTCTCTTTTTGACTTCTTTCACTTAATGATGTAAATAAGTTATATTTTTGTACAATAAGTTCGTTTCTTTTCTGATTATAGTTTTTTTTATAAATCAGTTTGTCCTTATCAAATACTTATAATTTATATTTTATTTCAATTTGAAATGTATTAAATTCATTGAAAGCAACAAGCACAGAAGTATAATTAATTTATCTTGAATATAATTTTTTCTTGCAACTACAGGAAATGAATGTTTTAAAGTGTTTCAATATGTTTAAAAATAAGTGAAGTAATAAGCAAAATTTGAATACAGTTTTTTAAAATCATTTTACACATATTCATCTAAGACACATTCTATATTTGAAAAATTAGAAAGAAACTGAGTTTGTAATAATATAGGATATGGATTTATTCAATTTGATTGTATTTAAAACACGATATATTCTATTTTATACCATTAAAAAAATAATACCGACATAGAATATATTAATCATGGATATGTGTAGATGTAAATTTATTTTTTATTATACTTATGTATTGACAATAGTCAATTTTCGAACTTCAAAGTATGATAGTGTGATATTCATAAAAACAAAATTACATTAAATTTTATATTGTATTTCATATTTTGTATTAAACTTTAGTCAGAATCTGAATTTCTGAAAGTTTCTTATAAAGAACATAGATATTATAACTTGTTAACGAAAGAGATGTTATGAACAAGAATGTGTGAAAAGAATGTGTTCACGCTTATATTAAATTTAAATCATAATAGTGTTGGGAATAAAGAATGCCAAAAAAAATAATTATTCATTTGCAAAAATTTGAAAGTAATACAAATTTTGGTATCAGATATTTAAAAGTTTTATGTTTTCAAAGATAGTTAGAAAGAATTGCATTATTATTATGCATAATATGGATGCACTATAGAATTATACATCGAATCGAATGTAAAAGTAATGTAAATTGCGAGCGTTTAATTATGTATGATATAGATATTAGTTTTGTATTATTACAAAGATATAAAAAAACTTATCACCGTTTTTAAATATGACAGTATTATATCAGTCCAATGTCTGTAATTTGTTAATTTTCAGGAAGTTATAGAAATTATCAGTTCTTATAAAAATACTTTTACAATTAATTTTCTTAATATAGATTTAATTCTACAACATTTATAATATAAATATACATATATCGAACATCTACTACAACGTTTTATAATTTATATTTTGAAAGTAATTAATTACTTTTTTGAACAATTTTAAAAAGTTTACATGTTTAATCAATTGTATTATGTACTTTCTTATCAAGCAAACAAATTGTGTTAAAACAACAAAAAATTTTAATTTTAGTTGTCTCAAAAGTAGGAAAACGTTGTATTAGAAACTTCAAACATCACATACGCGAAAGAAAAAGAAGCAATTTGTACATAACAATTTATATAAAACATGCAAAGAAGTGCGGTATAACGACAGATTGAGAAAACTCGCTGAATGCGCAATTAACGAACGTGATGGCTGTAAAAATATTAATTTTTTCGATTGTAATTTTATAATTACATTACATACTTGAAAACTGCCGAACATAAAAAAAAAAGTGTAAAAAAAACATCAAGAGATTAATTCATTATATTTTGATTAAATTTCATTACATTTTAAAAATTTAACGAAATTTGTCGTTTTACTTGACATTATCAATTATAACAAATAAAGTACACTTACAATATAACAAAATAATGATTCTTACTATTGTGAAACATTTGTTCTAAAAATATAACCTGGAAGAATTTGAAACTTAGACAAGAATTTGAGTAAATGTCTACATCCACTAACTTGTTAATAATAATATTATTTGTGACTGTTAAGTTGTTATCGATGGGACGATACATGTACCATAATATACGTATAATTATTTATAGGCGAATTGGCAAGTTAGGACCCTCAAATTGAGAGCTTGATGGTTTCAATTTTAAAACGGCCCTTTTTTTTATACAGAGTGTCCCGTAAATAGTGTAAGAACCGGAAAGGGGAGTAGCTGAGACGATTCTGAACAACAATTTCCTTTGCAAAAATGTCGGATGGGGCTTCGTTTTTGAATTATTAACGAAAAACACTGACCAATCACGGCGCTCGCCTTCCGCGCGCTCAGGGCCGTCCGACCTCGGAGAGCCACCGCGCTGGGTAGGTAGCAAGATGCGCGTTGAAGATACATCGAGGAACGAATACAAATAATTAAAAATACTACCACTACAACTGTTACCTAATTCGTTAATTACTACGTAATTAGTACGTAAATTACTAAATGGAATTTATTAATTATTTGTATTCGCTGTTTCCGAGAAAGAAGGAATAAAATCTCGGAATTTTTAGGAAATTAACCCTTCGCAACCGAGTGACGCTTCTCGCCAGAGTGTTTTAAAATTAAAATAAAAATTATTATCAGAAAATTAAAATAAATACGGTAAGAACCACATTTGTAACCGTTTGTTATTAAAAACTGTACTGGAAAAGCAGACTGGATTTCTGCGTACCGAAACATTCCTCGAATGCAAAGGGTTAATAGAGAAATAATTGAAATTCGACTTACCCATTCATCTGCAAGTTGACCTACTGCGCTGACAATAGGGCCCGGCCAATGCACCGCTGTCGATCATGGCAAGGTTGAAGACCCCAACGAAAATCAGCTGATGGGCCAGCCCGGTCACTGCACCCGCTTCTCACCCCGAAAACACTTTACAGCATGGTCACTCGCACTTTTCACTTTCACATGCCGGTGCGTTCCGTTGCACCCTTCTTCGATTGTTGCTCCTTCCTGGGTTGATGGCGGTGTCTGGATATTGCTCCCTCCTGAATTGTTACTCCTTCGTGAATTCTTGTTGCTCCCTGAATTGTTGCACCTTCCTGGATTGTTGCTTCTTCGAACCTTGCACCTTTCAGGATTGTTGTTCCTTTTTGCTGGGATAATGGGCGTGATACGTGCGGGCGGCTTTCTTCGCGTTCCCCTTCGACTCCGCGAAAACGAAGAACGTACGATAATACTCTGAATTTCCGCGTTCCATCGCGTGTGTCCGCTCCTGTTCAGAAACGCGGAGGTTCTGTGAAAAATTTTGACTGACAAATTGCATTTCCCTCCCCGAAAAAGTCTCAGGTACGGCAACCCATTGCCGCGCGACTCGGAATTACCTGCGATCGGCGAACGTGCAGACCATGCTTTTGTCGTGTATCGCACAAAGCCAAACGTCCTTTCGGCTAGTTGACCCTGGCGGAGTTATTTTTTTATTACTGCAAAACTGCCGCAAATGTTTGCTGCTAACCGTACGGTCGACTCTTCTATTCGAATTTTTAAGATTCACCGTGAATATTTTTTCATGGAAAATTTGTTGTAAAAAAGGCTCGAGTGCGAAGAGTAAATTTCCTAAAAATTCCGAGATTTTATTCCTTCTTCCTTGGAAACAGCGAATACAAATAATTAATAAATTCGATTTACCTTAGTAGTAATTAACGAATTAGGTAACAATTGCAGTGGCAGTATTTTTAATTATTTGTATTCGTTCCTCGATGTATCCTCAATGCGCATCTTGCTACCTACCCGGCGCGGTGGCTCTCCGTGGTCGGACGGCCCTGAGCGCGCGGAAGGCGAGCGCCGTGATTGGTCAGTGTTTATCGTTAATAATTCAAAAACGAAGCCCCATCCGACATTTTTGCAAAGGAAATTGTTCAGAATCGTCTCCGCTACCCCCCCTTTCCGGTTCTTACACTATTTACGGGACACCCTGTATATGGGAAAATTCTCATGGATACCCGTGAGCCCTCCCGGAGGATGGTCCACGGCAAAGATACCAGATTGAGCACAGGATGCACTACTCAACCATGCCAGATCACGCGTACGTGAGCCCGAGGAATTTCGGAAAGTCGACAAAGGCAAACTGACACATGTCCTCTTTCTCGATTCTCCGAAGCTGCCCGAAGTAATTTGGGACGCCTTGTGGGAGTCGAGAGAAAAAAGCTCACATTTGCCTTCTCGCTCTTAACAACTGAAATTCGACCTCCTGTCAACGGCATACGATTTGGATTTTCGAGTTGAGATTCCCGACTGCTCAGGCATTTTTACTTTCCGACCTATGTCGGCGCACATAAGCAAAGTACCCATAATGAAAAAAACTTTTGTAAAATTTATTTTACGGAAATACACGTTTTAAAACCCCCTGATCATATTTTAATTATTGAAAAAAAAGAAATTTTTTTTATTATTCCCATGTATGGTATGAGCGTACATATGTATATTATTAATACGATTGAGTAGTATAAATGGCTGAATGAATTTAAATGAAACTTTACATTTAAATTTTATGTTCTCATTTCAAAGTCCGGTTAGACTTTGACTATAATCAGCCCATGGTACGCAATTATCTACCTTTTGGAATGTAGAGTCAGCTCCCACGAGATGCAGCTGCTCGGTGGCTAACGCAGTTTGGAGATTACCAAATATGGTAATGTCTAACGTGTATCTGAATCTTCCCCCACGGATTTTCGGGTATACTTATTGATTTCCTTACTCGGGGGATCAGAATCGTATAATTACGTTGAGAGTTAACATCACGTCTCTCGTTACGCGTCCACGGTTTTAATAGTCAGTTATATCTAGTGAGATCGGGCTAGAGTACCCATTCGTATCAATTTTAAACGCTATAGAATCCGTGAACCGGTATAAATTCTATTACGGTCTTTATTTTGAACCGACTTACACCTGCATCGCCAATGCGTCAACGTCGTGCAAGATCATTTTAGGTAATTACATATAATTATTCTTTGAACGCGACACACCTTACACTGAACACTTGTAAATTACTCATTGTTTTGAGAATATATTGAATTTCATTACTAAATCAGAGTTATCCAACTTCTTTAACCCATCATTACATGAAGCGATTATTGTTAGTTAAACGCACGCACAATAATGCAACTTTACCGCTCGAGTTATATTATAATAAATAATTACAAGTTACGAGGTCAACTAACATATCTTAAATCCAAATACAAATTCTTACAACCTGGTGGCTCCTCGATTTCGCATCGAGTTCGTCCACGCAATCTATTATCATCCTAGCAGCTCCCTGATTACGCATTAGGTTCGCCCGCATCGTACATTACCCTCCTGTATGTGTTGCGCGTGTGAATGTGTGTGTGAGTGGACTCGGGCATGGGATATTTGTCGCGGCTTTGACCTAAGGCCGCAGATTGGCCAGTTGGCTGCGGGTGTGTCCTGCGGCCAACATAGCCCCGCGGCCGGCGGCTTAGTCCCATGTCACGAGGCCGCGGGCGCTGGCGACCAGGCGCCTGCGGTTGAGTGGAAATGCGGTGGGAGGAGTGCCTCTCACCTGGAAGGGCATGAAAAGGCACGGCGCGGCGGGGGACTATGTGATGTCTCACTAGAGTTCGCGGTCTCTCGCTAGGCGCCTGAGGATGGTCACCGTGGGGTTTTAGCCGGTAAGAGTCCGGTACTCATGAGGATTTCCCCACGTACAAAAAAAAGGTGTGATGCAGCTAGCTAGAAAGGAGCGAGCCAGCTAGCTAGGAAGGAGTGAGCTAGTTAGCTGGCAAGGAGTGAGCTAGTTAGCTATCACGGAGTGAGCTCGGTAGCTTGCAAGGAGAGAGCTCTGTTGCTAGCAAAGTCTGAGCTAGCTAGCTAGAAGGTGTGAGATAAGTAGCCAGCAATGATTGAGCTAGGAAGCTAGCAAGGAGTGAGCTAGCTGGCTAGCAAGGAGTGAGCTAGCTAGCAAGTAAGGACTGAACTAACTAGCAAGCAAGGCGTGAGCTAGCTAGGTAGCTGGCAAGGAGTGTGCTAGTTAGCTGGCAAGGAGTGCCCTAGCTAGCATTTTTTTTTTTTTTTTTGTCGAGGGGAGAATCTTCGAAAGACTCCCACCCACCTTTTTGGGGAGAGGCGGGAGGGGTGTGTGGGATTCCCCGCGCCCATTATAACGGGTGTGGGACCTACCCACTAAAAACCCCACGGTGAACCTTCCGCACGATTTGGGAGGATACCGGAAATCGCTCTAAGCATACTTCCGGTATCCTGCCCGTGCCCGCGCTTTGCGCCCATTCGCGGGGGGACGAACGGCCCCCCCGGCAATCGCCACAATTCCTTTTTTTGGTTTTGTGAATGGTACGTAACGGCAGGAGGATCGGGGACCTTGGCTTAACCGCCTGGGCCGCGAGTATGGCGACTCTATAAAATCGCCCTCCAATCCTAAGCTATGGTGCGCGGCGATGGGATGCATGGTTGGGGGAGAAGGCCCAATCCCAAGCGACCACCTCCGGGGCACCTGCCGAACCCCCGGAGTATTAGGCTTACCCGGGTAAGGCGGCTCTGCCCGGGTGGACCTTTATTTCCGACCTACTCGTGGGATTCATACATGGATTTTCAAAATAAAACGGGGATGGGACGGGTTATATTGGAGGGGAAGGACGATGACGGTGTTGGGGCTAGGGTGACGGCGCTCGCGCCTCACTCAGCGCCTGGCCCGGCTTCGTGGAAGGTGGAGGAGGACGACGAGACTGCGTCAGTCTCGTCCTTCTCCTCCACGAGGAGCCACATAGGCTCCAAGAGGAAGCGGACGGGGCAGGCCGTCGACGGAGTGGACCGGGCGATGAACCCGGTCGTGATGGTGAGTTGCCTCAGGGCGAATGACCACCGCGCGAGCCCGTGTTCGCCGGCCCCCCACTGCCCGCTATGTGCGGACATGGGGAGACCAGCCGATCACAGGGTGGGGAGCAAAAAGTGCTCTCCCCCCTCCCGGAAGGGGAAGAAGAAGGGGCCCGCCCCGGTTCAGGCACCGCGGTCGCTGGCAGCGTCCACAATGCAGGTGGACGGTGCCACGGGGACGGACAGCCGGGAGGAGGCTGGGACGGCCGTTAAATAACGGCGCCCCGCCTCCTCCTCCAGGCCAATCTCAACCACTGCCGCGCGGCACAGGACATGATGTCCCAAGTCCTCGCGGAGTGGGGGGTTGGCCTGGCGGTCGCCGCCGAGCCGTACCGCGTGCCTGATCACCCACATTGGGTGGGCGACGCGGACGGTTTGGTGGCGACGGTATGGGGAGGTGGCGACGGGTCCCCGCCGTTCTCCATTCTGGAGCGCGGTCGGGGTTTCGTCGCCGTGGACTGGGGGGGAGTCGCCGTAGTGGGGTGCTACATCTCGCCCCGCAGCGGTCACGCCGCGTTCGAGCTGTACTTGGCCGAGGTCGCGGCATGCGTGCAGCGCTGCGCGGCCCGGCCGGTGCTGGTCCTGGGGGACTTTAACGCCAAGTCGGTGGCTTGGGGATCCCCTAGGACCACCGTTCGCGGCGGGATCCTGGGCGACTGGGCGGCGGGGCTCGACCTTCGGTTACTGAACCGGGGGTCGGAGCACACGTGCGTGCTGCGATATGGGGGGTCTATCGTGGATGTTGGATTCGCGACCCCCAACGCCGTGCGCATGGTGTCGGGTTGGCAGGTGGCCCCGGAGGCAGAGACACTCTCCGATCACCGGTATATCCGGATGGAGGTCTCTGCCGCCGGGGCTGCATCCCGGCACCGACCCCCGGATGGCACCCCACCGCGCCGTTGGGCGCTTCGGCGCCTGGACAAGGACGCCCTGATGGCAGCTGCCCTCGCTGCAACTTGGCCGCAGGTGGCGGCTGAGTTGCCAAGCATGGAGGAGGAGGCTGCCCGGCTCGGGGTACTAGTCGCAAACATTTGGGACGCGCCGATGCCCCGGGTCGGGCGAGCTTCTCCTCGCCGGGCGGTGTACTGGTGGTCGGCCGCGATCGCGGAATTGCTGGTCGCGAGTGTCCGCGCCCGACGCCAGTACGCCCGCGCGCGCCGTCGTCTACGACCGGACGATGGCGTGGCGCGAGCGAGGGCAGATGACCTGTATGAGGCATACCGGATGGCGCGGGTTGCTCTGCAGGTCGCCATCAAACGGGCCAAGACCCGGGCATGGAAGGATCTCCTCCAGACCCTCGATGACGATCCTTGGGGGCGCCCGTACAGGGTGGTGCTGAAGAAGCTCCGCCCGTGGGCGCCCCCCGTCACCGAGGGTCTTGACCCCCGGCTGCTGGAGGACGTGGTCAATACTCTTTTCCCAATTCGGGTGAGGGGACCACGTCCTCCGGCGGAGGCGGCAGTCCCTAGGGAGTGGGCGTCCGAACTGGGGGTCACTCAGGGGGAGCTGACCGCGGCCATCAGACGGCTCGGGGCGCGTAACACGGCCCCGGGTCCGGATGGTGTGCCCGGCCGGGTTTGGGTCTTGACCCAGGGCGTCCTTGGGGCCGACCTCAGGCGGTTGTTCGACCGATGCCTGAGGGACGGGCGATTCCCCCCCAGTTGGAAGGTGGCGAGGATGGTCCTCCTCCGGAAGGAGGGTCGGCCCGCGGAGTCTCCCTCCGCATACCGGCCCATCTGTCTCCTCGACGAGGTGGGCAAGCTCTTCGAGCGAGTGATTGCTGCCCGCCTCGTCGAGCACCTGGCGCGGGGTGCCCCCGGCCTGGCCGACTGCCAGTACGGTTTCCGGGAGGGTCGATCGACCATCGACGCGATAGGTCGTGTCAGGGCCCTCTCGGAGTCGGCCGTCTCCCGGGGAGGGGTGGCTTTGGCAATATCCTTGGATATTGCCAACGCCTTTAACACCCTGCCCTGGGAGGAGATAAGGAGGGGGCTCGAATATCATCGGGTCCCCCCTTGTCTCGGGGCGGTCATCGGGGATTATCTCCGCGGCAGGTGGATCGAGTATCCGAGCCGGGATGGGCATATGCGGAGGGAGGTGTACTGCGGTGTTCCGCAGGGGTCGGTCCTCGGGCCACTCCTGTGGAACATCGCGTACGACGCAGTGTTGCGGGCCGACCTCCCCGACGGCGTCAGCGCCGTGTGTTATGCAGATGACACACTGGTGCTGGCCGTCGGGGCGCACTGGGGGAGGGCCAAGCGTCTCGCGGAGGAGGGGGCGCAACGCGTCGTCGACCGGATCAGAGGGATGGGGATGACGGTGGCGGTCCATAAGACCGAGGTGATAGCGTTCCATTCACCTCGGCAGGATCCGCCACCCCCTCTGATCCGCGTGGGTGAGGCTAATATCGAGGTGAAGCCCCAGATGAGGTATCTGGGGCTGATCCTCGATAGCCACTGGCGCTTCGAGGAGCATTTCCGCTGCCTGGTCCCCCGGCTGGAGAGGATGGTCGGGGCTTGGGCGGATTTGCCCAACCTGGGGGCGCCCGGCGGGCGAGCGCCCCCTCAGGGCGTGGCGCATGACCCAGGCTGGGAGGGGGGTCCTGATAGGAGCCCCCTCCCGCCAGGCGGCGTAGGGTCGGACCGGATGGGGTGGCAGTGCCTCCTGTCCGGGTCCGGCGCACGGAGCGGCACCCTCGGTGGCCTGGTGCGGCCATGAGCTGCCGGCCTCCGAGGGGTAGAAACGGGGTCGCGGCGGTTGCGAGTTGGGGCTCGCAGCCGCCACTAGACGCGGCCCCGGGACGGATGGCGGCAGGACGATGTGGCCTCGTCCTGCCGCTATGAGACAGGGCGATTACCGGGGGGACCGTTTGTCCCCCCGCGGGTGGGCGCAAAGCGCGGGCACGGGGAGGATACCGGAAGTATGCTTCGAGCGATTCCCGGTATCCTCCCAAATCGTGCGGAAGGGTCACCGTGGGGTTTTTAGTGGGTAGGTCCCGCGCCCGTTATAATGGGCGCGGGGAATCCCACACACCCCTCCCGCCTCTCCCCAAAGAGGTGGGAGGGAGTCTTTCGAAGATTCTCCCAACGAAGAAATAAGACGAGGCCACTTCGTCCCGCTGCCATCCGTCCCGGGGCCGCGTCTAGTGGAATAAAGTAGAAATAAATTACCCTGGGTGGATTTGCCGTCTTCTAGCCGAAGCGTGGGACACCTAGGATCTCCCAGCTTACGGTGAACTATCAGAACACGTCCCAAAATCGCTCGCCTGGTACGGCCGCAGTGCGTAGGACGTCGATTCGAAAAGGTAACGTGGTATCAGGCCCAACCGTAAGTCGACCCAAGGGCGCCGTTGGCAGAGCGGTACCACACCGTGCCCGTATGCACATACAAAGACGGTGAAGGGCCGAGGACAGGGGTGACGGTTGGAATCTTCCAACCTCCCTCTGATCGCCCCTCCTGCGACAGTCACGGGTTGCAGGCTTCAAAGAAAGCGAGATTAAAATCTCGCGTATAAAAACAATAAGTGAGCGATTCCCGATTTAAAGGGAACGATCACACACATACAGTCCACTAGCTTAGCCGCGTATCGCGGCGGCTGTGATTCCCGCTCCTGGGTGCGACAAGCACAAACCAGGCGCGAGCGCGAAAGAGTAAGACACACGACGTGAACCACGTTGTCAGTTATTTAACGCCTATTTGTGTCTCTTTCTGTTACAGATCATCATCGTATCGACATCGCCAGCGCCGGCGTCTAGACCGGCAGACGCGTTTTTCCTGTAGTCAAAACAAAATAAACGGCTTAGCCGAATTTCTCGGCTAAGTAAAAATAAAATCGCAAATTGTATTCTTTTCCCCGATGCTCCTTCTCTCGAGATCCGGACCACC